GAGCGTTTAGAAGAAGTCAGGTTGAGTATTATGGACAATATTTAAAGCCACGGAGGTGCACCTTTATATCCCTGTATTTTCAATTCATTAAAAACTTCCCTGGGTCTCCAGAATCGAGAGCCACACACACCCAGCACCGATAACAAACCAACTTCTGAAAAACTCTGCCAACAAACCACAAGATTTTCTCTTTGTCCCGTGGACAGCTTACCAACAAGCCTGTTACTTAACCATATTCCTGAGCGACAGGATGCAAAGTCCTGCTGAGAAACTGGCCCTGTAACATCAGAGTATACCCTGGCATGGGGACGGCCATTCCTGAGCTACAAGATGCAAAGTCCTGCTGAGAACCTGTAACAACATCAGAATATACCCTGGCATGGGGACGGCCATCCTGACTATTAAATTACTGAAGCATAACAAAGCACAAATAACACCAGAATACATGCTTGTTCTGATCATCCCATATTGTATTACTTCCTCCTTTTGCAAAGCCCAGTTCCAAGGGTAACTTATTTAAGCTCCTTCTACCCCACATCCAGCCTCACCCGAGCAGCCCAGGCACAGAGGAAGCAGGAAAGAGAAGCAAACTGGCGTAGCAAAGCGCCCCTTGCAACTCAGAGCACGATGTTAATGTACCTTGGAAGACTCCACTAGGTAAGAGTGTCTTGCTGCACAGCATTCGTTCCCAAAATTGTGTTATTTGCATGGGTTTTAGTCCTCGTTTTGGCTCCTGGTGGTTAAGAGCTCCTTCCAGGACATGCCGCCTTACACTCAAGTGCCGACTTTCCAAGGGAGAGTCACCCCCGAAGAGGTGGGTTGTGGTGTGAGAAGCAGCTTTAGGGGCCAGGAGGGCCATGTTTAGACACCTGAGCCCACAGCATCACCAGGCAGGTAGTGATGTGTCCCAGAGAGCAGCAATGACCTCCCTGCATTGTCTGGGAGCAGTCAGAAACCACCCATCACGTACCAGAACAAACCACATGTTCTCACGGGCATTATCATCACCAAAATGAATGGGAAACACCAGAACTACTAACAGCTCACCCTGAAAAAGGATGCCACTGCCAGGTCAGCCACTTAAAAGACACCCTGCGGCCTCTCCCCCCGTGGCCTGCTGCTGGCATTGCTAGTTCATGGGAGCAACAGGAGTGTGACCGTCAGAGCTGGCACCCAGGGGATTGGCTTCCTTGCTCTCTCTTCCTCTGTAAAGACGCACCATTGAATTGGTGGTGAAGAGAGAGCAGCTCTCAACAGGGACTGGGTCACGACTGCCACAATTTGTATTATTTACCATCAGGGACATAGCTGTAGGAGGGTTGAGGAAGCATAAGAACACCTACGGTTTAATTTGCCACTGCTACTCCCACCATAGGTATCCCTCCACCTTGTGTTGCCCAGGGCTCTTGCCCCAAATCTAAAAATAGCTTCAAGCAAACACTCCCTGTCAGCTAAACAAGCTTAAAGAACTTTGTCCTGACTAAAACCAGCACAGCCCCTGGGCTCTTTCTGGAAAGAAAGGTGGGGACAGCTGGGAAACTCTCAGAATAAGAGAAATATATCTTCAAGTACAGGTAGTTTTCCTGTCATAAGTAATAGAAACCTTACAGAAAGCAGATGCCATGGCTGTTGTAATTGAAAACAGGTATTTTAAATCAGAGGTTCTCCAGCAAACCTCAGTATTTCTCCAGTGTTAGCAGTGCCACTTACTTGCTAACAAACACGTACAGTAAATCTGCCAGCATTTACTGACACAGTAACTACGCAGCCACAAGGCATTCCCTGTTACTTGTTTTTTATTTCATGGCTAGAATTCCTCAGAAAAACTGAAAAAGGTATAAAAAAGGATAAAGGAAGAAATTCTCCTTGTGCAAAGGGAGTAATGTGAGGGCAGACCTTTGACAGCAGCGGGGATTGCTGCCACCCTGCTATCCAGGGAAAGGAGCTCCCTCAGGGGAAAACTAACAGGGTAGAAGGCAGAAAGGGAAAAGTGAACCACCAAACACCCTTTTCTGTCTTTTCAGACCTCAGACCAAACGTGGGCTCCTGTGCAACAGCAAACTCTTGCTTTTGTTAGGAGTGCTAGTAAAGAGCCATCAAGCACAACACGGAGGTGCAGTACTCCCAGCTGGAAGGGAAAACTCCCAGGCTATCCAGCCCTTAGCTCTGCCATGGCCACAAAAGCCTCCGGCTCCAAGAAATACCTCCAGCTGCTCCTTTTTCAGGTCGCTCTTCTAGGGCCCGTCTCCTGCGGGAAGGTGTTGGTCTGGCCAACGGAAGGCAGCCACTGGCTGAACGTGAAGATAGTTATACAAGAGCTCATCCGCCGTGGGCATGGTGTTACCATCCTGGTATCCAACGCTTCCCTCTTCATTAAACCCAGGGCTGAGGCTGCAGAGAAGTTTGAGGTCTATAACGTGCCCTTCAAGAACGACACCGTTGAGAACCTGATCGAGGACGTAGTGGCACTGTGGCTGAATAACAGACCAACCACCTTAAGCTTCTGGCAGTTTTACAAGGAGCTGGGAAAACTGTCCAAAACCTGGCACCAGATGAACCGGCTGATGTGCGACGCGGTGCTAACCAACCGAGAGCTGATGGCCCAGCTGCAGCGGTCTGGCTATGACCTGCTGCTGTCAGACCCGGTGACCCTCTGCGGGGACCTCCTGGCTCTCAAGCTGGCCGTCCCCTTCATCTACTCACTGCGCTTCTCCCCGGCCTCCACCGTGGAGAGGCACTGCGGCAAGATCCCAGCCCCACCGTCCTACGCGCCCGCAGCCCTGTCTGAGCTCACCGACTGCATGTCCTTCAGCGAGAGAATAAAAAACATCGTGTCCTACCACCTGCAAGACTACGTTTTCCAGAGCTACTGGGGAGAATGGGATACCTACTACAGCAAGGTCTTAGGTAAGCCTTCTGCTACTTCATTTCTCGTTGCACAGCCTCCTGCCTTGCGACCTGCAGAACTAGGAACCTGTCAGGGTGGCAAAGTCAAGGTCTGATAGAGGTCAGCAAGAAGTTTGTCATTTTCCCGTGTGTGGAAAAGGGAATGAGCCCCTAGGAACCGTCCGCTGCACCCATTCCCCCATCAGGGTGCTGTGCTGCTATGCCATCGCGTTGAGAGAGGGATCAGTGGCCATCCCGATGGACGGACTTGACTCTGGCCATAATTATTTTTAATAGGGGGCTCAGCAAGGGGGCTCAGCTTACACATTTCTCCCTCCAATGACTGCTTGCTCAGCAAGCGGCCAGGAACAGAGCTGCTTTCCTAATCCAGAGTATCCTAACAAGGAGGGGGGAGCTGGGGAACGACGAGCCAACCCTGCCACCCTCCGCAGCAATACTGCAACGTGTTGTGGCTTTGTCACAGAGACTTCAGTCATGTCACTGGTCATATAAACCCAACCCTCTCTGCACAGAACAAATTTAAAACATACCCTCCACCCACAAGCAAACGGTGAAAGCAACAAGCTTTCCTCTCCAGGCTTGTCCTCTGAACTGTTTGGAGAAAGTATGTAGAAAAATATGTTTATTTAAGTATTAATCACATGTGATCAACACGTCATTTTTACTAACCTTGCACTGAGCTCATGAAAAAGAGCACTTGCAAATCTCTTAGGGTTCAATTGCCTGCAAATACCTGCGTGCTGCTGGAGTCCACAAGCGCACCCAACTGTTGTCCTGTGCATAGCAGATGAGGTATCTCAGCTTGGCTCCTCACAGCCTAACTGCTTCCTCATTTTCATCCTGGAAGGGATGCTCTAGGCAGCACGGAAGCCGTAGCTTTTGCCTTGCACAACAACATTAGGGAAACATTGCGTAAGAGAGCTGGGCAGGAGCCCAGTACTGATGATTTTTAGCTCAGCAAAGAGGACTTAGACTATTTCTGAATTACACATGAGAAAGCTGACGATAAAGAAAATTGTTTAACGGATTTTCTGGTTCAACTTATAGTGCATAATTGGCACTTAGTGGCAGGCAGAACAGCCCACACCATCCCCTGCCAGCTCTGGCCTCCCACGACACACGGTCTGGAGAAGAAGTTCACATGAGGACAGCCTTACTCTGAGACTGCCGTCACTGGCTGTGCAGTTTCAACCACTCCAAGATGCAACTTTTCAGCTGCAGCCCTGAATCACCACCTTAAGTGCACTGCGAACTGACACTCGGTGGCTTTATAAAGCAAAAGGGTGCCCACACCGTGGGTGAACATCTTCACTGTGTACCCAGCTGTGCTTCAAAGAGCCAGAAGAATGCAAAAGTCACCTCTTCTACCAAACAAATAACATAGAGACTGCAGTTAGACAGGCAGAAGGGCCATGATGACCAACAGGACGCAATGACCCTCGCTGGACCGAGTCCCCCCGGGGCCGTCATCCCTCCCCGCAGCTCCAGTGGCAGCGCATCTTCCAGCTTCAGCAAGGTATTTCCAACCAGATGGTGCCAGCTGGTCCCTGTCACCTTTTTCCTAGGAAAACACGCCATTATCCCGGACAGGATTTCAAACCAGCTACCTTGGTTCCCGTCCCTCCATAGCAAGGTAGTCACGCGTGCCCAGCCCAGCTTGGGATCGACGCTGCGTGCAGGCGATGGGAGCATCGCCACACAGAGCAGGCTGCGGCTGGGAAAGGGAGGTGGCTGGGGCTGGGATCCCAGGGGAAGGGGTCGGTCTGGCTGGCTGACAACAGCTGCCTGAACAGAGAGTACGTATTCCGGGAAATTCCGGTCCTTGCATGCAAAACGCACTTTGTGGTGAGCAGAAAGAGGAATTGCTGTCATCTGGAGGTCGGAAATGTGCTGTGGCTCTGAGGGAGACTCCAGAACGGGATTTGCTGCTTGCTCAGCCCTCCCACGAGTTGTTCTGTGTTCTGCCATGCCCTCATGCTGAGCTTGGCAGCAAGCAGCCGTCGCTTTCATTGGCTGGCTCTGAAGTGTTTGGACTCTGGAGCAGTGAACTGCTTCCAGCTCGGTCAGACCGGAGTCGCACATAGACTGCTGAGATGGTGGGGCCAAGGTTTCCCTGGCTGCTCTGGGCCTACGCGTGCTGCTGGAGCGCTGGCTTTTGTGGGAAGGTGGTGGTCTGGCCCACTGATGCAAGTCACTGGATCAATGTGAAAGTGCTGCTGGAAGAGCTCGTTCTCCGGGGTCATGAAGTGACTGTGCTGGTGCCCTCGAGCAATCTGCTTATCGACTACCACGACACCTCCTCCCCCTTCACCTTTGAGGTCCTGCACGTCCCCTTTACTCAGAAGACCCTGGAAGATTTCATGGAGGACTTCCTCAACTTCTGGATGAATGAGGTCTCTAACGCCTCCCTCTGGGAGATGATGTGGAGGATGAAAAAGGACCTGGAGGTCTTTAGCACTATGTCAAAGCAGACCTGTGACACCTTGGTGATGAACCCTGAGCTGATAGCAAGGCTGCAGCAGGCCAAGTTCGATGTTCTGATCGCTGATCCCCTGGCTGTAGGTGGGGAGCTCGTAGCAGAAATCCTAGCAATCCCTTTTGTCTACAGCTTCCGCTTCTCTGATGGGAATGTGGTAGAGCGGCTGTGCGGGGGGCTCCCGTCCCCCCCTTCTTACGTGCCTGCTAGCACAAAAGGGCTGACAGACCAGATGTCCTTCGCAGAAAGGCTGCAGAACTTCCTCTTTTACGTTTACACGGATCTATTTTTCTTGAAGTTTTGGGAAGACAAATGGGATGGGTACTACAGCAATGTCTTAGGTAAGGCAACCGTTGACTGGTTTCTGCTCTTGCATAGAATCGGTCAGGTGGGAAAAGACCTTTAGGTCTAACCGCTAACCCAGCTCTGCCAATTCCACCACTAAACCATGTCCCTAAATGCCGCATCTACACGCCTTTTAAATACCTCCAGGGGTGGCGACTCAACCCCTTCCCTGGGCAGTCCCTTCCGTTGCTTGGCAATGCATAGGTTGTGCCTTTTGAATGTTTTGCGAGCTCAGAGCTGTTGTCTCAAAATTCTCAATGGCCAGCAGAGATGGTAGCCCCGTTTGGGTCACACAGAGGCTGTGCTTTCCCTTTTGGGTCAGGTCTAGGCTAACAGACACCAGTGCAGTTTTGCTTCAGTTCCTCTTGAGGCTCTTTAGAGCACATTGCCCTGATTTTTGTGGATGCTGATGCCGGGGAGCTCTTGCAGTGAGGTGTATGCCCATTTGAGTGCTTTTCAGAGGACAGTTCATCTTGGTAACAGGCATTTCTACCATTAAGATGGTTGTGGAGGGCTCATTCCTTAACTAAGTGTAAGGCACTGGAGACAGCTCCATTGACAACAGAGGGATGGAGTTAACCCTGCTGCAACTGGGTACACTGGCGGTCTTGGGACAACTGCAGAGCAAAAAGCACCCTTCATTCACACTGCGTGCATCCTCTGGAGGCATCATCTCACAGCCCTGCGTAGTACAGGATGCTAAGTGCATGTTCTCCAATAATAAACACTAAGAAATGCCACCTTTCCCTTTCATCCACAATTCAGAGTTTGAAACGGTCTCCTTAAACGGCACGCATACCTGAAATTTTTGTTCCAACCTCGTACAACTCCGGCTTGATTCAGAGTCTATGGAAGAGACCTTTTAGTTTAATTCATCCACAAAGTTTGAAACTTAAACAGCACGCATACCTGAAATTTTTGTTC